TGTATTCCAAGTGAATCAGAAATAACGATGTACTACTTATTGTTATTAATATTCTGGAAATAATACCTGTATAGATTTTAGTTTTGTGTTCATCTTAAAAGAGGAAAAAAAGATACATTGTTACTATGTTTAGGCACCTATTTACGGCACTGACTTTTCTTTTTAATATTACTGTTACATGAGATAACATACAATTTAGAATTATGCTTTGGCAAGTAATATAAGAGTTGTCAGAAGTGTATGGTCTTTGAGCACACATTTAAGTGCCTCAAAATGTTGTGTATATTACAGGAGCTTGGCTTTAGATGTTATACAATTACATGTACCTATACATTATAGCAAAGAACGCATATGATATATTTGTTACTGATATGCGTGCAGAAATCGAAATAATGGATATTTAAAAAGAAAAAAAAGAAAACCAATCTCCTGAACTATAAAACGATTACCAACGTGTATAATTATATTTTACATTTATAATACTGCCTCTTAATTTTTTTTATATCTGAAACAATTAGCCGCAATGTTTTTGGATATAAAGAAAAATTTATTATCAGCTGTAAATGCATTAAGATATTATTTCAGTTTAAATCGTGGTGCTGTAAACACTTTGCTTTAGGCTCATTCTTGTAGCACAACTTACATTTATTGTATCTTGATATCCTTAAAAATCTGGTGTAACACAGTTAATTACATTGAGAAATAATTATGATATATTTAATATACACGTATAAATTTATCTTTTCATTGGTAAATTCACTCGTTTGAATTATATAACTAAATATTTTTTAATATAATTGAGTTTTACTCAACCTATACTTGCCATTTTTTTCTTTTGTTCTTTTTTCTTTTAAACTTGTGTGCAACATTTTACTTAAAATTAGGTTCTGTACATATATAATATTTCAAAACATTTCAAAAACATAGTTTAAAAATATAGGTGAGAAGAAATTAATTTTATCAGCAAGACACATATACATAAACATTATACTTATTAAAAGTAAAAAAAATTAAACTAATGTTAAGTTTATAGTTATGCCTAGGAATTTCAATAGTTCTTTTGTAAAACTTGTCTTACCCCAATTCGGAAAAATTAATTTCTAATTTTTTAAAATTAATAAAATTCGCCTTTTGCCTCGTATGAAAGAATAGGTCGTTTTACAAATTACAAAACATGTGCACAGTATGTTTGCCCAAAGTAAAGTGCATCTTTTGATTGTATGTGCATTCTTAATACTAGACAAATTAGACACATCTAGTAATACTTTCTAATTAAACGATACAGTAATTTATCGACTAACTTTTTAGTTCATGTATGTAATGCACATTCACGAGAATTTACCGATAAAAAGATTCATATAAATACAAGAAATACATATGTATTAAAAAAGAATTGGATAAGCATTAATAATTCTCGATTATAGAATTTTAGAAAACGTAAACAATGGTAAAGTGATTTGTCTTACTTTATGCGTTACCCCATAAATTATGTATAGCTAATTATGTGTATGCTTTGAATATTTGTTTTAATTACCGCTACGAATTATATGTAAAGAAATTTGAAAGTTGATTCCTCTCTATACATTGTCTCTACTAAATGTATGGAACCTAATGTAAGAAACGTTAAACTGTTGGTATATCATATACCTGTACGATACAGAGTGAGAAACAACCAATACCTTGGATCTTAACGATCACTTGTCTTATCAAGAAGCATTAACTGTTTATGATAACTAGTAAAAGTATTTGAAAGTTTTATTTTATGAAGTGTAAAACAAGCGAAGCGATACTCTTTAAATGAAAAAAGAATCAAGACAGTGGAAAAGCTTTACACTGACAATGTAATTAAATTAAGGAACGTAGTGATTTCAAATAAAAAAAGAAAAAAAAATAGTTCCAATGGTCCAGGGTAAGGGTGGCATACTGGGTTAAAATTGTGATTGGAATGTATGGAAAAGGTGTATTAGAACTCCGTTCTTTTTTAATAATCCCGTCACAAAGTCGTGGCTGATAAACTTACGTTAACTCATTCATCAGAATAAACTGTGATTAGATTTGAAGTCCAACAGAAATACAATGTATAATGTACTCCGTTTCATAGGCTGCAGGCCTAGAAAGTCTGATTTTTTAACTACTATGAAAAACTTGTGTATTATAATATGATCTACGACGTTTGTTTATTACTATGTAAAGTGACAAATTTCAAAATTAAACATTAATTACTGTTATTGGTTTTGCTTTTACTTTATAACTTTTAATCTCACGTTATTGTTAATAACATCTACATTGTTCGTTCGATAAAAGAAACTGTACAGATACAACTTAGATGGAACATGGCCTAGCATTATATGAATAAATATAGAGAAAAATCGATGTATTCTCGTAAATGTAGTGGCAATTAATGAATCCGCATAGATGTGGAATAAAAGGTATTTCTGCATGTAATTTTATTCAGGGCATGAAGAAACTGCCAATATCTTTAATACAAGAGACTGACAGTATCTTTACACAAGATGCAGATTCAATTAAAATCATGAAACCCTTTTCAAGTCTTGTTCCACAAATGACAGAAGAATTATTTGAATGTATGAGAAACGCAAACTTCATATATTACAAGGAGTCAAATTGAATTGTATAAATTTCATATCGTTTATTAATTAAATGGTTCACAGACTTCAAACGTTACCTCGCTATAGCGTTACTTTAAAACTAAGCAAGTAGTAGTTACATACTTTCTAGTCAATCGGATGAACTTCGGAGATCTGTTAATACTTTATTTGGTGCACAATTCAATGCGAACAGATTGTAAAGAATAAATATTAGTCATTCTTATCTCTGGTCATGGAGAAGAGATTGAAAATTAATATTATTTTGCGCGTACGATGTCGAGAACAGATAAGGATGTACTTTTTGTCTTCCCTGATTGTCTTGCATTATGATATTTTTGCTCAGTTTGAATCTATACATAGCATGTAAAATTATTGGTGCGTTGTTATTTGTCTCTTATTTTTGAAAGAAAAAGTATTTATAGTAAATTACAAATTATATTCGCGTTTTTTTAAATAGATTTCATTTAATTTCGTCTGAAAGTGTATATTTATCAATATTTATAAATATGTATATTGTAACTCTTAATTGGTTTGTAATTCATTTTGTTGGTTTTAGTTCATTTAGGAGTAAACAAAATTTACCAATAAAAACATTCATGCAACTCCAATACAAGTTATACTAGAATGTTTTAAGGGTTGAAGAGATAAATATAGAAAGTGTCCCTTTATTATGCATTATTTTTCGACGTTTTCATTTTTTTTTTCGCAAGTCTTTTATTTTGACTATAATACTACAAAATTTGTAATCATTTCTATATTGAATTTTGTGCCTCGAAACACCACTCATTGCTCGCATACAAATGCACACAAACACAAATGCATAAATGATACATGTTCTTGAAAGTCTCTTTTTGTTTTTGTTGTATAAATCTGTCAATATCACAAAATACTATTGAAATTTTCATTTCAATACCTGTAACTACTACGCTGACCACTTTTACAGACAAATATATCGTAAATTGTAACTAAATATGAATGGAATAGCGTAATTGAAATTCGATTATTTTGAATATTTACGCACAAAATTATGCTCTACTGAAACGACGTCAAACACATTGTTATGTATATTTATAAACTAATTTAAAGAACAAACATTCCTGATTAAATTTTCTTCGTTATTAATCTGCGTTTTTTCGTATATATCGTTTAGAACGTTATCAACAATACGTCATATACGTTGTGGAAAATCACAGTTTGTAAATAAGATTTATTTATAATAGTGGGCACTGGACTACAATGTCGAAACTGAATGTTTCTAAAGACACACAGAAATTGTATTTTAATACGTTTCTGACCATACCTACGTCGTAAATATATAACCATTTTCTTTTCTGAACGGTAAAACTGTTGTGTTATAAAAAAAAAATGTTTCTTGGCAAGAATGTTACAGACACCTCATGTTGGGTCATATACACTTTCACATCGAATTGTAACAAGTGTACATTATTATCTCCCGTGCGAAAACATTAAAATAGAAGATTGTATTAGTACGATCAAAAGATGAAGCCAGTCGAGCGGCTATATTACCTCTCAAATATCTGAACGATAATTGTGTGTAATTAATCATTATTGTTAAATATTTAATCACAGTTCATTTGAGTTCAAATCTCTGCCATAATATGATCACGAAGCGTACAATTTTAAGTAACAAGTGTATACGTGGGCAATACCTCTAATTATTAAAACACATAACTTGCAGGAAAGCACGTCGAATGTGACATGAATTACCAACGAGAATGTTACATACATATTCCATTGCTACAAAACCAATATATACAAATATATACATAATATTGTATTTGGGTCCAAGGAAAACCATTTAGAAGGTTCCTGCCGTTGCTTCTAAAAACACGATCAATCTTTTATAGAATTTAACTGGTTTCTTTGTAACATTGATACTCCGGCCCCTCTATTCGCTTAAAACATTTATTTTGAAATCTACCATTATTAAGAAGAGAAGATACAACTTAATTTTTAGACGAGATATCATTATTATCTAAACTCGGCTTATACGTGTGACAAATTCTGAGGGAAGGGCAACATAATGAGAATTATTCTTCTCGTGTATTACAACGCTGCTTCTGTAAAACTTGTAACGCGTCATACATGAGTTACATAGCGAACGAACTTGTTGTACGTTCAGTGCCTTTTGACATATGTATTCCTATGTATGTAAAGATCAATGAATGCTTTTGTATTTACCGATATCTTCCAATTACCGCGAGAAGCTCGACACGATTCGAAAATAATCTGTTCGAAAACCGTTGTATTCCCTACTGATCGGAACAAGCGTTCTTAAATGATGAACTTGATCGGATACTGGCTTATTGTTTGTGCACACAGTTACATAGAGTAAGCCAACTTCACATCAAGTTCGTGTTTACATGTACACGAATATATGATTCAGCATTGACGTGCTTGATTTGAAGCGCATCATTTTTCAAAGGTACATGCATATTTTTATAAATGTCGGTATTGATACGGTGTAATACTGCATACAAGCTGAGTCCTTGAAGACTCGGGACATGCAAATATTCTCGTAGCTTTTTGGAAGCGTAGACAAAACTCGAGGAGCCAAACTATGACATTAGAATCTAACAAGTACAAATATATGTTTCTCAAGGTCACTTGAACTTTTTAATGAAAAGCATATACATCTCGAACCACAAATACAATAAATCTGCCGGAGCACACTTAAGTCGTGACATGTATCATAATTTTATTTTATCAGAGAACATGGAATTCAATTGTGTTTAAATCGAATCCTTCCATTCGCAGATGAAGAACGAACGTGTGTACATTATCAGAAGGTATCATTTCAAGTATAGCGTTAGAATATAGAAAAAATGTAACGACGAAACACTTGATTTGTTTCAAACAGGAATCCTCGATATATACAGGCGTCTGCTAAAAGGGGAACCATGTAACGCCTTCAGGATTTTCCATATGAACAATTAGCTTGATAAATTTTGTTTAATTCAAGTCATAAATGACGTTATTATGTCAGTGGAAGAAATATGAACAAATAGGTTTCATAAGAAACATCGAGTGACCTTGAAATGTCGGAAGTTGTGACCTTGAACTGAATTACGTTTCGTGGTCTTTCGGACCAACAGTTTCTCTCCTCGAAATTCTTAAATACCACCAAAAGCAACGAAGATATTTGTAATTCCGGTCAGAGACGACTTATTTGTCTCTGTTATATATAGTACTCTGTATATGTGTACGTATACGTATACACACATGCAACGTGTATAGGAAATACGTAAAAACAATATGCGATTTGTGACAAATGATATACATAGTTGTACTCATAAAATATGAAAAGAAAAACACAAAGCTATATGTATTAGCTATACATATTAATTTGTGGTACAATGTATAAGACATAATACTGACACGCATACTTTTATGTCTGATCTGTGAACATTTTCGATGTATCTGTAATCATATATTTGTACATAACAGGTTCGTTTGTTGCGTCCATTATGTGGTTAGAGACTACTTTGTACATAATATAAATACACGATGAATGGATGAATAAATAAATACGTAAATAAACAGATAAAGTGTATTGTATTGTAAAACCAATCTACGTTAAATTAGATAAACGGATCTGTTTACACAATTTCATGCATCACTGTGTTACATGAAAAATTCAGTAATTATTCATACATAATATTCAATTTATTATCAGTTTCAACTTGAAACCATAAAATTAAAGAGTAAACCTACATAATTATGTAATAATTTTTACATTATTTATATCGTAAATTAATTATTAGTAACAGCTTCGCATTTTTATCCGCTGATCAAGTATAATTAAATAAGTATAATAAACTATAAAAGCTTATATAAACATATAATAATTAATAGGATTCGGACCAGAGTTATACACAAATTTAATGTATTTCATAATATTCAAATAAATCATATCCAACTATATATAATAGTACGTATTAAATACGAAACATATATCTGTGTTTATTTTAAATATGTACATTTTTTTTACTTGAAGTCGGAAGGACAATTTTTTAAATTTGATTATTTATAATAGCTTTGCTTTATTTTGTAAAACTGAATTAATAATACAATAAATACACGAATTTGATGTTGGAATATAATGAAAGAACCGAGGTGGATGAAATTCAATTGAATTCAATGGAATAGAGCCAATGGCCATTGTGGTTTAAGTAATCTCGATTTTAAGAACTGAGATTAATACTTCATGCGCACTAGTCTTATTTTTATTAATATAAATAATTATTCGTCACTTTGACCTCAATTTCAGATTGATAAACGTTATTATAAATTGTATTCTTCATGGTTCAATGATAAGAAAGTATATAAACATAACCTAGAATAATACACGATACGTCCACTTGACAGCATTAAGATTTGTCTATCATAGTTAAAGCAAATAATACATCGATGGTATTAGTAATTGTGCTAGGAAATATCAGAATATAATTAATACTTTTTAGTGTACTATTGAGATTCATTATCGCAGAATTGGGTGTTTAACATAAATTTCTGCTTGTCACTATTATTGTGTTCTTTTTTAACAATATTTAAAGCCTAAAAAGGAACTAAATACATATATATATATATGTATAGTTGCTTATTATTTAAGTTGTTTTTTACTTAAATAGAATTCAAAATGAAATATTCTACATCACCACCAGTAAGTAGGTGTAATTCTCCTGGCCCAAGTGAATTGGGCTCAAATTTGCCAATGCCAGTTACTTACAGGTACACATTCATATACATATTTATTTAAATACTTTTATAATAACTTTAAGCAAACTACATGTATGTTATAGACAAGATTGTATGGGGGCTGCAACAAAATGTTACAAGTATTTAAGGAAGCTATTAAAATTTGAACAAATGGATTTCGAATTTGCCTTGTGGCAAATGATATTTTTGTTTATATCACCACAGAAAGTATATAGAAATTTTCAAAGTAGAAAACGTACGTTATTCTGTTTTATAATAAGCTGTCTATATAACAATGTGTTAGTGTGGATAATATCCAATTAATGTTTAATTTTATTTTCAGAAACAAAGTCACAATTTGCAAGAGATGATCCTGCATTTTTGGTACTACTAATGTGTTGTTTGTGTATATCTTCTATTGGTTTTACAATAGTTTTGGGATTAGGATTTCTTCAATTTATAAAGCTGCTATTTTATATGATATTTATCGATTATCTTGCAGCCGGTTTAATAGTAGCCACAACATTTTGGTAAAATTTAATAAAATATAAATATGATACGATGGTATATATACAGAGTACTGAATATACCGTTTACAGGTTTATAACAAATCGTTATTTACGAGTTGATAAAGTTCAAGATGTAGAATGGGGTTATGCATTTGACATTCATTTGAATGCATTTTTCCCACCTTTAGTCATACTTCATATTGTGCAACTATTTTTGTATAATGGTGAGATTTTTTACTTCTTTTTATTATGTATTTTAGTACAATTGTCTATAATTATTCATCAATCTTGTCGAACCTAATTAATTTTACACTTATAATTTGTAAACATTATTACATTAATAATCACTTGCTCGTAGGACTTATAAACTATGATACATTTTCATCACGATTTATTGGAAACACAATTTGGTTAATAGCTGTTGGGTACTACATTTATATTACATTTTTAGGATACACTAGTAAGTAGGAGTTTTATATTAAGCACATATGGAACTATTTAAAATGAAACTAAAACTTATTTATTCTCCGTTTTAGGCATTGAAATACTTCATAAACCACATGTGATATTATCTGCATTACCAGTAACATTACTGATGTACATTATGACATTGTGTGCAGGTATTAATATTAGTCATTTAGTTATGGAATTCTACCATTATCGAGTTGTCTAAATAAAGTTTATTTTCTGATAAAATTTTATTTCAAATTATACTATTTTTAAATTACATTTTAATACACATACTTGTGGATAAAAAATTAGTTTCATGTACAAAATTAAATTCCACTTGTAATTTAAAGAGATAGTAGTATATTATTCTACAAAACACAGAAATATGTATTGTATTCGTTAGACGATGCATTTATATTTAAGGTATATTTAAGGTAAATATACATTTTCTTAATATTTTATTTATATATTTCCGAACAAATTTTTCGCAATAGAAATTTCATAACTACATATCACAAAATTACTTTAGTCACCGTATATGAAAAATGTTTAAATGTCGATCTTTATTTAATTTTGTAAAAATACAGAATACTTTTTTTTACATTGTTAATCATAAATTATTATTCTCCTGATTTTACAGGATATTTAAGTATAAAACAATAACGTACACTATTATATAAATTAGCTGTATGAATTTTGTACATAACATTTTTACATTGTCAACTAACTCTTAAAATACTCCATTTTAGAAACTATTCCTATCTAATACATATGTATATAAATATTATAACGTATACAGTAAAATTACCTTATTAAATGTAATATCTCCTTAATCATTTAGAGGTTTACAAAATTGAATGAGCACATTACATAACTAATTGTAAATGAACGGCATGTAAAAAAATATGATTACGAAGCTTTTCTAGTATGATAAATGCCTACAGTTCGACAATGAAAAGATTAAAAGTTTTAAAATTATAAAATTATACAAATTTAAATTTAATACATTAATATTGTCAATTGTTATAAGAGTTTTGGCTGCTGCTTCAAAGTTGAAATGTCTAGAATCTTACTGGGACAAGTGGTTCTCGGTGTCTGAGTAAAAGGAAAACGCTGTAATGTAGGACCTTTTTTTGCATTTGTAAATTTCATATCACCTTTTGGAAACACCTCAGCTTGTACTTTACCGGTATCTGCAAAAATAAGAAAAGACAGTTTTTCTATTGTTCTATTGTATTTTTCTTTATTAAGATAATTTTAAAATATGTCGTACGTGTTCATTAGAAATTATGATGATTTATTATTGTACCTTCTGTTTGAACATTATTCTTTCCTGGAAGTAATTGATATCGTTCCAAGTAACGCATTGTAGCAAAAGACATATTTGTTCCTTGTACATTGCTAAGCATAAGATGTTTTACTGATGCTGAACCTTGTCTTTGCACAGCTAATTCAGAAAGCTGTTCATCAGTTAAATACTTCAAAGCCAATGCCTTCATATGCATACTTGTATTCGTTTCATTTACAGCACTTGTAGCCTGTGTCATGTTTGCTTGATAATCCAAACGTGGATAGAATGATGAATCAAATGTCGTCCTTACAAAAAAATGATCAAATTTACTATGTATAATACAAACTCGATTATCCAAGGAAATGTTAAACAAAACTTATCCGAAAAAGCAATCTATGTAAGATTATACAAAAACTTAGCATAATTAACATTCGTATTATTACTAACACATACAATATTCTAAGTTAACAAAACTTGGATAGTCGAGGTCATCAGACATATATAATAGCAAGGAATTATAAATGCAAAACATACTTATTACTATTATTCGATTCTTTATGTTCTGGATTTTCGCTTAAACTAATTCCAAGTTTTTTAAGTTGTTCTAATGTAGCAACTTTCACACTATCTAATGCTCTGTTTTCAGTCTCATCTCGATTGTTCTGGTTTACTTTTCTCTGATCTTGTTGCTGATCATCTGTTACACAGGAATTCTGCAATAATTGATTCACTTGTCCGAGAACATTATTGTAGAATGTCCAGCCCACTTTAGAGCTACGTTTAACTTTCTCGCTATCGTCGTCACTGGAATACTCCTGCATTTCAACATGAATACTAGGTTCCGGAGTTGGTGGCCTTTCATTTATCTTTAAATCACCACCATTTAAAATCATACTGTCTTCGATACAGCTGCCGCGTTTAGCAGCAACCTGCCCTTCTTTTCTATAATTCTCATAATAATCAGTTGATCTATTCACAGAATTACTTGCTGTTGCCGATTCGTTATCTCTATGCGTATGTAACTTATTATATTGATCTGTACTGGATGGAATATTTATCTTACGATTACTTTTTCCTAAAGAATTATATTCTACAGTATTCTTTTGTGGCATTGGCGTTTCTACGATTACGTAATTTGTTGTTTCTTCCTTATTACTTCTTTCTAAATGCTTTTGTGTATTTTGAATATGATTCATTTTTACAGTTGCACCTTTACATTGTTTAGGAGATTCTGATCTACACGTATCTACGTCTCTTCGTGCATCTATATAAGCCTGTTTCTCTAAATCTTTTAAAGAAATACTTGCATTTAAATTACTACTTTGCTGTTGACTAGATGACATATAACTCTCTGAGTCTTCAACTATATTTTCTAATTGTGCACTAGGTATTCGATTGAAAGAATTTTTATATCTTCTCAATGGTTCATGATTCACATCAGTGTCACGCACACCAACGTTATTAGATATTTTTAAATTTCCTTTTTCTGATTGACTCTCATTTCTCTCATAGTCCTCTATATCCACAGAGAAAGGACTATTCTGTACAGTGAATTCAAAGCTTGTCATTACACCAATTGATACTTTTTGTTCCATAAAAGTTGGTCTTGATTGTGTTTCTGTTAATATCAATTCAGTTTGATTAACATTTTCATTATTATTACAATTATCCATTTCTGTATTTTTAGCAGGTTCATACTGATACGGATGTCTTTTTGTACTGTGTGGAACTCTAACATAGTTAGATGAATCCAGAGTTTCATCATTATTTTTAAGTAAACGATCACTTTGTTGTTGTTGTTTCAAACAAGAACAACTTTTCTTTTCCTTCAAACTTTCTTCCTGCATTTTCAATAATCTATCAACTTGTGTTTGTAAAGACTTAATTTGCTCATTCTGACTATTTATGATCTGTAATAAATTTTTCACAGTCTCTTGACTCTCGGTATTATGAGCAGAATAAGGATGATGTTGTGGAAAAGGAAATGTATTTGCACTATAATAGGGATACTGCTGTCCAAGGTAATGTGGTAATGGAAATTCAGTCCTTTGTAGACTATTTGAATTAATAGGTAGATTGTGAACAATAGAATCATTGCCTGCATCATTAAGTGGTACTTTTTGCTGTTCAAGATTACGTGTCACTAATTGTCTTTTATATACTAATGGAGAAAACTCTTTGTCATTGACATCATAATTATTTACACATGCTTTAACATGTGGTACATTACACACAGAGTCTATGTGCTTTGTTGTATTAATGCACTGTGTTCTCAGATGTTGTTTCTTTTCAACACAAACCAAATCATCCTCACATATTTTATAATTATGTCTATACAACTTATCATTACTTTCTCTATATATTTGTTGTTCTTGATACTTTGGACTATTATAATAATCTTTTCTCAAAGAAGAGTTTTTTCCTTTCGACTCCTTTGGTGCATTTTCCGATGCATAAAATTCTGCATTATAATTCTGATTGTATTGTATTTTTGGAGGAGTTGGGCAGTCATTGACTTTAGAAGTTGATGGCTTGTATGAATAGTTTTGTTCTTTCCATGCTGCATAAGATCCATTGGTATTCAAAGGAGACAAGACATTATTTTTGTGTTTTGAAGGTCTAGGTTCTACAGATGGTGAACGAAATCCTTTATAATCTACAGCTTTGCAACTTAAAGGTTTATCAAATATTAAAGAGACTTCGGGAACTGATGGCAGTGAAAAACACTAAAATTTTAAACATTAAAATGCAAATGTTATTAAGAATGTAGAAAATGAAATTTTATCTATTTACATTTAATTAATAGTCCAAAGAGGTAGAGTTTTGTCAGTATTTTAGAAATCATTTGAAAACACATAAAACATGGAAATAACATTTTTTCTGAAAAAACTTACATCAAACTTTGAAGCCGGTTTCGGAGTAGCTCTTGGTTCAAAATCATCTTCACCATTATTACAAGCTTGATACATAGTCCTGTCTATATAAACAAAACAATAATTTTTATGTATTTAGTATGAAATTATTGTGTCCACTCAGCAGTATTTAATAACATTCTCTGTTTGAACCGATCGATGTTCTGTTAATAGAGAAATATTATATATTTACTGTCTACTGCTTATTTTTCAATATTGTTTGTAACAACATTTACTTATTATACTTGTGTTCAATGGGAAATTAATTTCAAACAAATTGGTTGACAAATGATTCGAAATATAAGTGTAGCCAACTTAATGGAACAATTCTAGTAAACAATGATTACTTCATTCGGTATCGAATGAACCCCCAGCAGCCAGACCTGGTCTAAACATATATTACTAGATTCTGCTGTAGACCTGATGTGCAGATTGCTGCAAATGTGCTAGAGACATACAGCCAGGACGGCAGTTACCATTCAAAATGCAGCGACAAATGTATATGAATATGACATACTGCCTGATCGACCATGATATCAGATGCTGTGCATCTGACGTCAGTTTGCTCATAGATTTGCTACGCTTATTTTAAATATATTTTATTACTATAGAATAATATTATATAATACATGTATATATTTCGATTCACATGTTATATGCAGATATATTTTAATACTTACACGTTCAGATTTTTATAGATTAATACTTGGGAGCAGTGAATATAATAATATATTACTTCATCTTGTATAATGATATCAGTAACTATATATATGTACGTAAAAAAAAGCAAAATTTCTATTAAAGTATTATTCTTAAATACATTCAAAATATAAATGAAGGTCAATCGTAATCGTTATCGTTTTTTAAGAAAGCAAGTTTTCGCATCCAATGCTCCCTCTTTTGTCTGTCTCTTACCAGGTGAGAATTAATTAGATATGCATGGATCAGTATGTATAGAATGATATACATATTGCACAGTGTACCACATTGGCGGATGACTGAAATTTTACTACATATTATTAGGCCAAGTATATAAGTAAGCCTTTAAAAAGCACTTAAGTAATTATCATTACTTGTTTAGAGAAAAAATAAGTTCAAGAACGCTTAACGGACACTTGTACGGATACATATAGAGTTCATTAGGGTTTGTTGGCGTGGTGGTATTTTAAATCTATGTCAGAGTTGTTTGACCTGCGATATCTTAGAATTGGGATGTCGGTGATCCTTAAATCTTTGTCTGATATATCTTGTTGTTAAGCGGTATTTTATTTGTCATAGGTAATTTTCATGCTGCTCAATGTCAAATTACACAACGACGTCTGTAACGTTAGTGAATTAATTTACACACATATGTTTAATACATGATATGTACCGTGACACTTAAGGAAATTGTGAAATAAAGTAATTAACTTGTAAATCCGTAACGCTGAAGTATGAATTTATAAATATTAGTGTATTTATATCACACACGACAATATTTTTCCCACTTGTGCTTATTACATGTTTCGTGGGCTATTCCCTTTAATTAACTAAAACATTATTAATGTACGAAAATATATTCTCGTTTAATGTTCAATATTTATTATTATTTATCAGCACTGAATGAACTTGATAACTATCTATGTTAATATTAATATTTCATTTTTTTTAGGTTATGATGATCATGATATTCTACTACATTGTGCCTTAGATCATATCATTTTTAATTTCCGTTAACCCAAGTATTCTACAGAGGAGGAGAAGAAAGATCTTATAATGCTCTTATCTTATACGAAATGTATATTATCAATAACAAAAGAAGTCTGTTCAAAAGAAGCATAGTTGTTCATAAGGTTTGTACTCCTTTGTGATTAAAAAAAGAAAGATTACGCATTAACAATAACTTAATTAATTACATATTTTTAATGGTATTCAGATCTAGCTTTTCCTCTGGTATGGTGGCTGTGCAATTGTTTGTTCATTGGAATCTGATGAATATTAAAACAAGTGTCTTCTTTCCATGAAAGCATTATCAATGAGGTGCTTATAAGCATATATACTAAACAATGGCAATAATTTATTTTTACGCTTTTACTCTTAATATTTGATGGTTGTTGCAATGGTAAATATATAGTACTAATAATAAAATTAGTAATATTTAAGAAACACATGTAGTCAGCATTTTAAAGGAAGTAACGTGTGCACTAATATGTTTGTTAATAGAAATTAAAACCAATGAACATTAAAATTTAATATTTTTATTTTAGGATGTATCATGACATTATTCGTCAAGAATTGTAAATAAAAATATACATATATATATGTACATGTATTGAGCATAACAGATAGAATAGAAAGATGGAAAGTTCAGAATATGAAACTGTACGAAATATGACACTCTTATTTTTCTTTGAACTCCTTGTGGATAAGGGTGGACCACGTACACTGCATGATTTAAGCTGCCAGTTTGGAGCTAAGGGATTCACAAAAGAAATGCGTCAGATAGCTGGTGGATCTCAAAGTGGTCTTAAAAAATTTTTAGCTCAATACCCAATGCTTTTTCTTATTAATGGCGATTATGTATCTGTAAATACTTTTCAGCAAGTTGTTGAAGAAGAAAATGGATGTAAATTAAGCAGTAAACGTGATTATGCACGAGAGGCTGTAGAATATTTTACAAATAAATTAATACAGTATGGTGTTGGTACAGAGGTACCAATTAAAAGCCTTCTAGGACATCGATCGCAAGCTTCTCCAGAAGTTAGACACATTTCTGGCCAACATTATAAAGAATTTAGAGATTTCCTTATAAAGTTTCCGGATGCTTTCGTAGTTACTGAAGATAATGTAATGTTAAAACAGTATGAAGGCATGAAACCAGAGCCGCCAATTAAAATGGAACCCGACATACCCATTGATCCAGAAGTTACTGCAAAATTATTAGATTTTCTTTGTGAATGCATTGAACAGAAGGGTCCGATTCTTGTTGATCAAATGTTCAATATAGTTAACGACAAATTTTCCTATGAAAATTGGACCTCGATATTTAAGACGGCTCAAGATTTATGTACATTTGTAAAAATGTTCCCAGATGCATTTCATGTTCAGAGTAATTTGGTAACTTTAATCGGAAGACCGAAATCGTCTACGGTAGAAGGAAAGCCAAAAACAAAATTCGCTAATTCTGTACGAAATCAAAATAGCACTTCAAATCAAATAAATGCGAATCAAGCTGTACAGTTGAACAACACTCAACCATTGCAATCAATAACTAATTCAGAATCTATTAGTGCTAATTCAACGAGTCAAACTAATTATATACAGAGTTCTTATTCTCAAGTGAATGAAAGCAATAATAATTCTCCTCCAGTAAGCCTACAACAACAAACTTTAAAGCAAAGAATAAATACACTTGTAATGAAGACCTTGGCAGATAATACGGAGAAGGATCGCAGTTTACAGGTTGCACAAATGGGAGATGCGTGGAAATTGAAAGTACTGCAACAGACTAGAGTAATTGTGAATGCAAGGGAAAGTCTTCAAATTATAGAGGATATTATAAATCCTCGTAAATCTCCATCCGATGGTAAAATTGTTGTTTCGATAGACTGTGAAGGCATTAATTTAGGAGTTAAAGGACAATTAACACTTATACAAGTCGGTACTATGTCTGGACAAGCATATGTCTTCGATTTATTTACATGTCCTAATATTGTTCAAGCTGGAGGACTTCAGAAACTTTTAGAGCATCCAAATGTTATTAAAGTAAGGAACACTGATATGTCTTCTGTATTTTATATCTTCCTCTTGAAAACGTATATTTTGAACAATGTATGTTTCCTTTCAGGTAATTCATGACTGTAGAAATGACAGTGTCAATTTATATAGACAGTTCAACATTATGTTAATCAATGTGTTCGATACACAGGTATATTTCGTTTTTATTTATTAAATATCTTTCAGAAATTGTTATTATAACATAGCAAAAGTATTGACAGAACAAACCCTGTTTACATTTATAGGCAGCTCATGCTGTACTTCAATTTCAAGAAACTGGTAAACCTGTATATAAAGTTAAAAATGTTAATTTGAATACATTATGTGATCATTATGGTGCTCTATCTAATCCATTAAAAGAACAACTAAAGAGTATCTATCGTGGCAATCAAAGGTACTGGTGCCGTCGTCCATTAACACGAGAGATGCTCATTTATGCCAGCAGTGACGTTTTAAGCCTGGTTCCGCAAATATATGTTTCTATGGCTAAGTACGATTTACTTGTGTGATATTTACAAAATAATTTTCATCGTATCTATTTAGATAAATTACAATCTCTTCTAGTGATCTGATTACATTTATAATTGTTTATGCTGCAATGAGTAAGTGAAATAGTTTTTCTTAATTGTAATGATTTCTTTTTGTTTTTATTGTCATCAGACTCATAAAGCCGGAAGTACAAGTTCTCTTTTCTGAGTTGTGCGAAGAGCAAATACAAATGCACATTAAACCTGCAGAAGTTAAGGCACGTAAGAAGCAAAGGAAAGTGGAAACAGAAGTTGCAGATTTGAAAAAGAGAATGGAAGATGCGACCACGAAAAATATTGTGTTGAGTAACCGTGAGATACGCCTGTTACGTTATTTGGATCTTACTGAGGATGAAAAAGAGAAGCTAAAAGGCAGTTACAAAGTTGCAAGGAAATTAGAGAAACTTGAAAATATGGGTCAGGATAAAGGAGATAGTAGCGATGATGATGATGAGGATAAAGTTGACGACGAGTATTATAGTATGGAAAGTTATACCTCCGAAAATTCACATTCTGGTACAGTTTTTGTGATTAATAATCCTTTAAGGCTACGTGCGTTCAAAATATTTAAAATTGACTGTTTGCTTAGGTGGTATATTGTCACCGAGAAACACTGATACTCCAAGCCTTACAGAATCGATGCAGATGATGGATGAAATACTTTCCGACGAACGGATGGACAGGTTTGAGAAAATTGAAAAATTGGAAGCTATTCTTTCAGCAGCGACTGGTTCTGCGACCGATCAGTTCTCTTCAAGCAGCGCGGATGCGTCTCCAACGAAATGTGCATGTTCGTGTCGAGACAAAACCAAGAGTTTACGAACGGATCGTAACATCGGCAGTAGCGTGGCTAGCCAAACATATAGTACAGGTGATATAGTAATTACCAAAATATTTCTCACAGAGGAAGAAAAAGAGCATATAGATTTAACGAATTCGCCAAAAAAGTAGATAACATAGCTGCTGTGCAAGTGGTAGGAACGAAGTTGCCATTACTACGATTTTTTTAACGAAAAAAAAAATAAAAGAAAACTAAATGAACGAGTAACTAGAAATAGAAGGAGTAGTTGAAATTTCATCTATTTTATGTAATTTGACAAAATTGTAATATTCAATTACAATCAATCAATTGAATTTTAACTTTTGATATGGATTCACTTTTCCAAATCTGATGCTGTAGAAATCAGAATTTAGGAAAATCTGTTTCTTTACGAAAAAACAGTATTGTAAAAGTTTTATTTTTTAATAGATGATTATCTTTCTTTGCAAGTGTATAAGAAAGAATTAATCGAATTATTTAATAGTGTACAATTATAAAATAATATTCGTTTACTAACAAGAATATTTGATGAAATCAATTTTTTTATGTAGTTTATGTTATTACTCAGGATTAAAACGCTAATATTGTTCCTCTGTATAACAGTATAACTACTGAAATTCTATTTAAAAGCATAGATTTGATTGATTTTTAATGAAATCTGTACGAGTATAAACTGTTGGAATTACATGTAAGAGAATTCGATTCTTTCCATAAAGTGCTGCATTAAAATCACTGTTTTGCTTGATACGCACATTTAATTTTGACGAAATTTCCTTAAATAAAAATTTATTCAACTATCCAAAAAAAATTGTTAGTGCGGTAAGTTACAACTTTACATTATCAAATTATACACACATAATAAATGTAATTGTCTTCAGTCATATTCGTGCCAAGCTCTAATATGATATATCATGTGCAATTATCAAAGTGGTAAGAGAATCATTACATATTTTTCATTCTCTTTAAAAAGGAATAAAATTTGTAAACCACTCTTTATCGATGGAATTCATTTTAAAGATGACCATACATATCATGTTGCATTACAAATATGTATATTTCAAGCGGATCAATCATGAGATGTAACCAGACAAATTTAATCATATTAAAATACAGCTGTTTTTAATGCAATACTTTTAAAGATTATAATGTAATGCATCTGTTTAAGCTTATATTTGTACATTGGCATAATTTTTCTGTTTTAAATATTGTTTTCAAATGTTATATTTTTTTGTCTATTACGTGCAAAGGTATCTACAAATTGTTATTTATAAAAATGCTTGTTTAAGGAAATTATGGAATATGGATCAATGAAGATTTTATCCTCGAAATATTTAGGTGGTAATCATTTTAAATAATCCTTTTACATGGTTTTTTTTTTAAATAAATAGTTCTTTATAAATAGAAAATTATATAAATTTTATAATAGGTTACAAAACAGTACACATTAAAGTGTATTATTGCTGTGAAGCAATTGTAAACAATACATTTTGTTTTGTAACCTATGGTATATTCTTTTTATTCAACAGAAATAAGCCTGTTGACATTATTCTATATTTATTGTCACACTTACTGGTATGATATTTTCTGTTAGTTTCTTTTTAATAATACTGACCAATACAATGTTAATGATAAAAATTAGAATCAAGTGCCTCATTTGTACTAATGCATTTAAGTCATTTTAATTCAAAGTATGTAGTAATTCTATAAATGACAAAACTATTTTATCAACAATAGTAGAAAATGTTGTTATTAACAATGACTAATTTATTGCATTAAAAAAAATTGAAAGTTGCGCATAATAAACATTTTGTGAAATAATTGGTTTTGTTGTACACGATTTGTATGTATATTTTATCAAAAAGTATTCCTCTGTCCTATCCTTTACTTCCTTGATAAAGGTAAACAATGATCGAAATAAGTGAGTCTAAATAGTTCAATATAAAATCAATGTGCTGATGCATGTAATAGAATGCAAAATTCCTACGAATATTTATATATTTATGATTTATGAATTTTAAATAATACGCAAATTTTTAAGTTGACCATTAATGCGTAAGAAATAAATATTGAAAATTGAATTATTCTTCATCAAATGTTCTTTTTGGAAAATGGCTTCCAGTTTCAGATGAAAGAGTTTAAACGTGATTACGTCTCTCTTTAACAGATTTTTTATATAATATACTTATTATAGGCAATGATATTAAATTTTTACAGCTTTAAAATTACACCATATAAACTTATTCTTTAACAAACAACTAAATACTCTAAGTGCGTACAATTATATTTTCCTTCATGTAAAAAATATTTAAATAGGATAAAAATGTGGTAATAATTTTCGAATTTGACTTTGCATAATATATTATTTATAACGTATTATTTACGTTTTACTGTAAATTATTTTATCTAATTTCAAGACGATAACATTTGACCTGTAAAACCCCCGCAAGTTGCGAGATATTATGAATCTTATATTCCATACCAATTCCATACGTAAACACGTGTACATAGGTACTTATGCACATGATGTACTTGTGTGTGAACTATAATAGGAGTGAAGATTACTTCAGGGTCGAGCACTTGTTGAATCTCTTTTGTGGTGGCCTGGAGCCGGGAACGTATCAGTCGGAATCAGTCGGTTCATTTCTAACATTACAAAAAGTCGCTTGGATTTTTAGGACGCTAATAGTTTTTGAAAAAACTATACAATGTCTGCAGGAAATTTAGGTAAGCTATATATGTATATATAAATATACATGGTTAACAAATAAAATTATGAGAAATCAAGTAAAATTAAGAGCTCTTATCTACTTCATTGTTAAGAAGTTTAACCTTTAATATTTTCTATATTTATCCTTAATGTTATGTCTTAAATTTGTCTCTATACAATATTTAATAATTCCATTATACTTGTAGCCATTTTGAGCGTGTCTGACAAAACAAACCTTCTACCATTTGCTAAAAAATTGCATGAGTTAGGTTTGACCTTAGTTGCATCAGGTGGGACTGCGAAATCTTTGAGAGAGGCTGGTCTCCCTGTAAAAGATGTTTCTGCTATTACTGGAGCACCTGAGATGCTCTCTGGTAGAGTCAAAACTCTTCATCCTGCTGTACATGCTGGTAGGTAATATACAAATTTTCTTTATTTTCTTTATATTATAGGTATATTAGCCAGGCTCACAGAATCGGATCAAGAAGATCTTCGCAAACAAAATTATGAGCTTGTCCGGCTTGTAGTTTGCAATTTATATCCATTTGTAAATACAGTTTCAAAACCTGATGTTACAATTGAAGATGCAGTAGAAAACGTTGATATTGGTGGAGTAACTTTGTTAAGAGCTGCAGCTAAGAATCATAAAAGAGTAACTGTTGTTTGTGATCCTAGCGATTATGAAAAAGTAGGAAAAGAAATGGAAACATTAGCTGGCAAAGACACTTCCCTGGAAACTAGGTACCCTGAATTTTGTAAATGAAGTAAATATTTCAAACTTCTTTAAATTCTTTTAACATTACATTTTCCATTTTTAGACAGATATTAGCGCTTAAAGCATTTACTCATACAGCAGAGTATGATAATGCTATCTCAGACTACTTCCGTAAACAGTACAGCGTTGGTGTGTCTCAGCTGACATTACGATATGGAATGAACCCACACCAAAAACCAGCTCAAATTTATACTACTATGGAAAAATTACCATTGACTGTAGTAAATGGTTCTCCAGGTTTCATTAATCTTTGTGACGCATTAAACGGTTATCAGCTGGTGAAGGAATTGAAAGAAGCTCTGAATTTACCAGCTGCTACCTCCTTTAAACATGTTAGTCCAGCTGGTGCAGCAGTTGGCGTACCATTAGATACTGTACAAGCAAAATTATGTCAAGTAGATGATTTGTTAGGTCAACTGACACCATTAGCAACCGCTTATGCTCGTGCTAGAGGAGCAGACAGAATGTCTAGTTTTGGAGATTTTGTAGCTTTATCCGATCCCTGTGATGAAGTTACAGCTAAGATCATATTTAGGTAGTATAAGATCTTGTACTATTTCTTAGGGGACTAGAAATAAATTATACATATGTCTATATGAAGGTATATAAAATTTTAGAGAGGTTTCGGATGGAATTATTGCACCAGGTTATTCTGAGAATGCACTGCAAATTCTAAAGAAGAAGAAAAATGGTGCTTATTGCATTCTTCAGATCGATTCTGCCTATGTGCCGTCTCCAATAGAGCGAAAAGTTTTGTTCGGTTTAACCATGGAACAAAAGCGCAATGACGCTATTATTAACAGGGATACATTCGCGAATATAGTAACCAAAAATTTGACAACTGTTCCTGATTCTGCTATGAGAGACTTAATCGTGGCTACTATTGCTGTAAAATATACGCAAAGTAATTCGGTATGTTATGCTAAGGATGGGCAAGTTATTGGAATTGGTGCAGGACAACAGTCTAGGATTCATTGTACAAGGCTTGCTGGTGACAAAGCTGACAATTGGTAAATTATCCAAACTTACTGAGTGAATACATTTTTTTTTTTAAGCTTTATTTTAAATGTCATTAATTTTTCATTGTACATCTTTTAGGTGGCTTCGTCAGCATCCTAAAGTTACTAGTATGAAGTTTAAGAAGGGCGTAAAACGTGCAGAGATTTCAAATGCTATTGATAATTATGTAAATGGATCTATAGGAAAAGACATGGATGAATCAGCTTGGGCAGCTATGTACGAAGAAGTACCAGAAAAACTTTCTGAGAATGATAGATTCGAATGGATCAAAAAAGCAAATAACGTTGCTTTGAGTAGTGATGCTTTCTTCCCATTTAGGGACAATGTGGATAGAGCCAGACTGGTACATAATTATTTATTACATACTTTCTTTTCTTTTTGGAAGACACTGTTTAATATTTTTTAATTGCAGAGTGGTGTAAAATATATTGCAAGTCCTTCTGGTTCTACAAATGATGAGGCAGTAATAAAAGCCTGTGATGAACATAAAGTTATGTTAGTTCACACTAATCTGAGATTGTTCCACCACTGAGTGAACCAATCATGTAATTAAATCAACACTATTTGTTAGATGATTGCTTCACAATGTTGAACTTATGCGATGTTTGCTCAAATTATTGTGCCATTCATTGCATTGCGAAAACAGTTTTATCGGTAATGGCCGACAAACAACTTAATTAGATAACAATTTTGTTAAAGCAATTCATCTAAATACTGCATAAATACCTAAATGCTCTAAAAATAGTTGCTGCAAAACTAAAATATATTTTTTTTAATATGTTCCATGTTTCTATTTGAAATAACTGTTTTACAATTTTTTATATGCACATAATATACTGTGAAAAAAGAAATCGAAATAAAAAATATAATTTGTTTATGAATTCCTTTGTCACTTTATTCTATCATAATTGTTTGTAAAGTGAAAGTATATATTTTTTCACTTATCATAACATGACTTTTTACACGGTCCTTCTTTATTCGGTTTTATATATTTTTTTACCTAATAATGCGATATAAGAATCTCAATATGCACAACAAATTACTTTCTGGTTGGTAAATTGTTACATATAAATTTATTTACACATCATTTATTTCTAATAATTTTATTTATTGCGAGTAATAAAAGTATTGCCAGGTCTGCATTTTCTTTATTTTCTCTATAAAGAAAAGTTTTTATCTATTATTTCATTGGTAATATCTGCCAGATATTTCATAAATTTTGGCGCCGTTGTCAAATCGATGGGGTGTGTTTATCATAGATGGTGTTAGGGAAGCATCGCAGATCGCAGGTTTCAAAACTTCGAGAAGGCGGCAGCAAAATTAATGTGTTCCATCTAAAATGAATTGGAATAACAAATTTTCAAGAAGAGGCCAGGCTATGTACGCAGTTGAGTTCCTTTACTAATCATAGAGTACATTTTAATACGAGTTTTCGAAAACTGGCCAAACAGACACACAAAGCATACGGCTATGAAAATGTATCCAACCAAGGGAATTTTACGAAATCGTCCTTGTGCTTTTGTTTTTCCGTTTTATGAGGGTCATTCCCCGCCGAGCTAATTTCGAGTACACGTAATAAAAATTTCATATTGAAATATAATACGTTATATACGTCTCATAGTATGGTGAATATTCTATTTCGTTAAAATAGAAATTGGAGTGAAGAGGGGATCTACCCTCACTTGATGATCCACCAATCACGATCTTTCTAAGATAGCCGAATCCACTGATCATGACAAGTCGAAGACAGGGTCATTCGTTTCAGGGAAGATGTAGTGATAAGACGTGAAGTGAGCTCGTTCGTGTTGAAGTAAGTACGTGACCTTTACTTTTCATTTCTAATCATTCACGCACTATTAGTACCTACGTTAGTCTTTTATCGTTACTTCCATATAATATTTATTCTATTTAGTGTAAATCGTGAATTAATTCGATATTGCCTAACTAAGAATAAGCGGTCTTCGCGATTTCCGCTAACTACCCTATACCAATATTAGTATTTACGCATTTCTCATTCAATTTATAATCTTTTGCCGCACACTTCGAGTTTCATAATTGTTTATTTATGATAGAACCAGATAGAACCATTGTTAATTTAATGTAATTGCTTGGAATAATCGTTCATTTCTTCTTTCGAGGTACCAGCTGGAAAGAACGCGCAACCGATGCCATGGCAGTTGACTTTCCCTCCAAAAGCAATTCGGCGGGAAATTGGTGAAAGTCGGTGAATCTGGTTATTTATTACAACAATCAGGTAATACTCCACTACATATTTTTATTTTATCTTGTTTTTGTCGTTTCTGGCCGTAAACATGATAGCGATTTCTAGTTTTATTGTACTAAGATCAAACGAGACTTCTTTCGAGAAATACGTTTGAATTCAAATACATAATTGAGACATTCAAAATGGCTTTCTTGGACGGTAAGATTCTAAACAACATTACTTCCAAACATTCAAATTGGAAATTACTCGCAAACGAAGTCAAATAGGACATATGTTTATGTGAACTTTTTTTATTGTTTTGATGTGCTCAAGTCACACCTAAAATATTTCCCACTTATCCTGGGACACTCTATTCTATATTATATACTTATATCAAAGAGTAGGGATACAGCACTTAATGAGATGTGACTCGTTAAAACTTGTTACAACTACAAACTATTTATTAATTATCTACTATTGAGTGTATATAAAATTAATACAATATATGTACGTTACAATTAAGATGACGAAATAAGACTTACAAGGAAAGGTCCTCGCGCGCTTACTTTTCAACGAGGTTTTGCATAGTCATAAAGCTTATTGGAACTATGAAGCCAACGATATTTGTTCAGTCATATGTATATGACCATTAATTTATGAGATATTTAATGTTACACTTTTAGCCCATGTATACACACTAACCATTAGTGCCTTTGACCATATAGGTCTATAAAGGCATTTGCAGCTCTAGTTTCTGCCCCATGCAAAACACTAAAGACATTAACTAGATGTATGTTCTCTTTTTGTAGAGTTTTCAAATATTGTGTTTTGTTTCCTTTTGCGTTAAACCAAAGATAATATAGATTTTTAAAAGCTCTTGCAGATTAGCACCTGATCCATGTACCATACTGGATATATTAGTTAGACTTATTCCATTTTCTCCTAGATTTTTCAAATACTGCGTTTTATTTCTGTCCACATCAAACCAAAGATAATATAGGTTTTTAAAAGCTCTTGCAGCATTAGCACCTGATCCATTTACTATAGTGGATATATTAATTAGACTTATTCCATTTTCTCAAAAATTTTTCAAATACTGTGTTTTATTTCCATCTACATCAAACCAAAGATCATAGAAAAAATTTGTTCTCTTTTATTAAACATTTTAGTGTAACTAAAAACTATATAATATTTGTCTACATATTCAATTTGTATATGAATAGACTCTTCTTTATTATGGAGAACAATATTATTAAATTTATCAGCACCAAAACCCCAAAACACTAATGAAATTGTAGGATATTTATATTCATACAGAAACTTCCTAAGTGAGCACAGCACTGACACGTCTAACAGATATATTAGTCTAATTAAATTATGTGGAATATTACTCCTATATTGTTTAGTTTGATAAGAATTACACAATTTATCACACAAATCCTGTCTACTAGATTGGTATTGTGAACTTTTGGCAGGATAATTCAAATGTGCTTGCAAAAAGGAATCACTTATTCAAAGCGAAATACTGATTTTGAATTGATTAGAGCCTGTTTATGGAAAAGAACATGTATTTAAAGCGAAATACTGATTCTATATTTCCTTTTTATTAATGAGTTTTATTAATGTTAAGAATTTGGATATCAAGTCCAGATAGCACATGACGCCTTAAAGACGCCTATTTTAGGTCCAAGGCGTTATGTGTTACCTGTGAGAAAGAGTGATCGGAGTAGGTCTGGGCACCGACGAGGTATAGAATAGACCTATCATCCAATGCTTTCTTCTGTCCCACGTTCGCAGGTGTTCGCAGGGCTACTGCGAGCCTCGCGAGTCGCAGTTTGGCCACTGTGTATATTTTTATATACAATATGATCGTAACACATTAGAGTGTGAGAGGAACATTTTATTTTGACTGATGCTTTTTTTCATTATCACTTTGTTCCAGTAGGATAATAACTATTTTAATCATCGGTGTGTGTACATTATTTTGAAGTGTCAAATTTAAAGGTAGCGACATACACGTATTTATATAATTCCGTATCACGTGTTTGTATACAATATATATGTAACAGAAGTGTATGAGATAGGATTCTGTAGATAATATTGCATACAAAACCATACACTTTACTACATAAATGTATACGACAACGGTTTTTATAGGAAAAAGTGAGTGTCTTACAATGTAATATCAATTATCATTGATGCATATTCATTTTCGCTTGTCGTGGTATAATATTGCATTAACCGAGAAATACAGGTTAAGTGATTTCTTATTATTTCTTATTTGTGTACTAAAATTCAATTTTTGTCTGTACTTTTTATTACATAACTTAGTATGTACAAGAGAATATTGTAGATAGTCATGTTTTCAAACATTATATGCATCTTCCTTAAATGATATCCATGTATCTGATACATGACCGTTATTACAGCACAGTAAGCTAAACGGACCTATAAGACATTGTTATATTTTAGTTAAGTTGAAATGTTAAGTTTTAGTACAGCACAATAGTTTAGTAGAATAAGTACTAATTGAGTACACTGTAATAACTAGACTATGGATTTTATAAGTTTATGTAATAATACTATAATTTTAATGAGATTTAATGAACTTTTGATTTTACTTTTAAACTAATAGAGATTTATAATTGATGAAATAATTTCCTGTTTAAATCTCACTTGTAGTTTTGAAAAAGCTAATAATATAATGTTTATTATACATGTTTGCTAAACAAATCTCTTATTAAGTAAAGCTAAAACATTTGTTTTATTTAATGTATGAATGTATTTTCATATTATTTGAGCATCAAAAGTATTTAACTTTACAGACATAATCTGTACACAATCATCCTATGCATGGTATAGGAGTGCATTTGGTTCTTTAAGAAACATGAGTACCGTCATACAACATAATCCCATAGAACTTTCAATAAGGAAGAAATTAGTAAATTCTTTAAATCCATCTCATGTTGAAGTAATAAATGAATCTTATATGCATAATGTTCCCAAAGGATCTGAAACACATTTTAAAGTAGTTGTTGTATCTGATGTATTCAAAGATAAGTCACTTCTTAAGGTAAGAAGTTTCAAGTTGATCTATGCTCTCAGTAGTTATGAAAAAAAGTCATTTTTAGGCAAGTGCCAGCAACGCCTTAGTTCTTTACACCACACGGTTGGGTATGCTTAATAATAGTTTAAAGTATCAGTCATTTCATAGGCATGAGAATCAATCCAAATAGTTAAGAAAATGAGTCATGTTCAAAACATGAACACTATAAATAACACAATAATTAAAACTGATCTATTTATCAAAAGTTATGTGTCAGGAATCTCACAACAAGAAATTTTTTTACAATGCTTTGTTAGGGCGTTTCTGGTTAAATTGTTTTTCAAATATGCTAATTTAATCGTTTGAGAGCTGTGAGCACACTTCTTTTAATTGTAACATTTAAATTCTTATGGTTACGAATTTTGGAAAATATTTGGATGTAACAATTTAAAACCATCATTTCAGTGTTTATATTCCTAACACAGTTGAACTTCGCTTACCGATACCGTAGCAATTGTCGACACGGAATGCGTTCAGTGCGATCGCACTGCGTAGCACTCAAGCGATTAATATACCGTGTATTTATTACTATTACTTAAAAAATGAACAGGCGTAATTTTATTCAATTAGCGCCACCAACTAATAAATAACTTACTGCAAGCTGAATTGGATGGTGGAGTCCATGCATTATCAATAGTAGTAAGTACTTGAACTATTTTTAAAGAAAATTTAGGCTAATATAATCCAATAGTATAATACAAAATAATTTGAAAAAATCTTTTTAACACTTCTTCATAAAGGCAAAAACACCAGACCAGTGGGAAGACAATAGTAAAATTGCTCCGAGTCCAGCTTGTAGGGGTGGTTTTGGAAGATGATTACTTAAAATTAGGGAATAAAAGTATGTTATATTCACGTTCGAATCATGTGCGCCAATTCGCATTAAAAAAGATTCTTCAGTAATATGTCTTGTTTTAAATAATTAGTACTTAAGGTTACAAAACTAATATAATTTAATTAAAAATTCAAATTGGTGGGTGTCATTAAAAATGTTTAATGAAAATCGAAAATGAGAATAAAAAAGCAATGAAATAAAAAATTACATTAATGTCATAAAGCAAAAGTATCCAGCCTTAGCTTTCCCTCGTTTTCAGTGAAATAAAGTATATCGGCCGTAGATTGTTCTGCTATTGCTTCTTCTGCTCTATCGTACATCTGCAAGTTATGCATAATTTGTAAAGGTACTTCTGACTCTTAATTTTCTTGTTTTAAGTTGTACTTTACGTACTCCTCTAAAAATGGCATCGGCGGGCGGGCACTTAAAGTTTGGTCCAAAGTTTACAGAAACCGTTGCACTTTTGTGTACAGAAACTGCAGGATAATATGCCCCTTTATTGATATCGATAAACGCTTCGCCTTGACTTACGCCGTTTTTATAGAAAATAATTTTACTGCCTTCTAAAGGTTTCAGAGACTTCAGCGCTTCAGGTACTTGATCCTTTTCTTCATAGTACAGATGACTTTTAAATTTTACTAAAGGCTGATATATAACCATTTGTTAGTTTGTAAACAAATAAATAAAAATGCATTAAACTAGCCTACAACGTCTACTCACTCGATCCTTATATGTGTTTGGTAGGTGTGAAGCATCATGTGTATTAGGTAAGATTATTAGGAACCCCAAAGTATCACCTTCTCCATAACTATTACTATAATGTTTACCTCTACTTTCATGAAACCGCGTGCCTTTTCTGTTAACAGATACATAGCTATTTATGTCATAATACATAAACATTTACATGTACTTGATATTTTAGTAATATATTTATACCTAGATCTCCATGAATATCCAAATTTATCATAACCAAGTGGAGCTTGTAAGTTAGCATATTCTTGACCCCATCCCAATCTAGTAGCCGATCCTTCTGGCATTTCCTCAATAGTGGCTTCCCAATACCATGCGCCTCTACTTACATCTATAAAATATTCACATTAGTCGTCTCGATAGTGTAAAAAACGGAAAAATTCTGTATAATTTGGTTCAAGTTTACTGAAACAATGAAAGAAAATCTTAAAATCGGATTATCGTTCTGACATACTATGAGTGGCCCTGACCATGCAATAGCCTTTTTCGCCTGTGACTGCCAATCTGTCTTCTGAAACTCTCAGCTGTGGAGCTCGATCATGTAATGCCAGTAAGACTGTACTTGGACTCAAACCTCTATACAGCCATCCAGGAATAGGTTTGCCTGCCCAATCACTGCTTTCATCAAATTCCTATGAAATAGTATTATCTTAGTGGTATAATTGATCTATGAATTCCGAATGTTTTATACATAATACAATCAGATAACAGAATAACATACCTGTCTAAAAGGTGCATGAGGATCTGGTTCAGCAAGAATGTATCTATAACCATCTTTGTTAAAAGGATGCTCAAGTGGATATCCATGAGCAGGTAATTTTGGAGCAGTCATATCTGAACCTCTTCCCTTCTTTCCTGGACCAGTACCTGTTCCTTCTCCGGGAAATTTACGCTTTGCATTGCGACCGCGAAGTCCTCCACTAAGTGGCACTAAATATTCCGTAACAATGCTTATTAAGTCAAGTAATGAACAACTTTAATGTATTATTTTGGAAAATATCTAGTAACACAAGGATCTCGTTAATTAATTTCTACCATATTTCAATTGTAATGTTTTCTATATAACGCGTTGATAGTTACTTGTAGCAGCTGCTGTCCTCTATTACATGTTAATGACTAGTCTTGACATAGAATTTATTAAAAAAACTGAAGTGATATGTACTATAAGTACGAAGATCAAGCAGGGTGATACATGATATCACAGTAGTGATTAATCTATAGATAAGATAAGAGTGAACTAAGAGAAACGTAATGAACCTGAAATCTAATAATAAAAACAAATACATATATATCTAATGTAGTAATATAGAATATAATCAAATAGAAGATAATGATAAAAAGATATAAGGAAAAGCTTAGAAAAATTCTTTCATCTTCCTATTTTTCTTTGTTAACTAACGCTTGGTTCACTGTCTCTATAGTTCATTTTCTTACAGTTTATTCAACTGTTAAATTGTTATTGTAACAATTAGAGTGAAAGTGAAAGATCAGATAATAGTACTAGTAGTACATATATTTATATACATCTGTCAGTGTTTATTTCCAACTAAAAATAGGAACGGCATCTTATGAGGAGATATAATAATCAATTACTCATTTGAGTGTCGCGGTTCATTGCAGAAATCTAGTCAAAAAGTTGCGATCGCGTTTCTTTCGTTTCATGTACAAAATGTCGTATTTATGTTTATAGCAGTAGTTGTTGTTCTGTAATTGATTAAGTAACATGTATCATTTGTTATCACTTAAATAGTTACATTCAATGTTGTCAAAACAGTCATTCATCATGGAAAGTCTGACACTAACCAACTAACAATTACGCAATTAATATTAATAATTACACTTACCAACATGTTGGACACCCATTTCGGTTACTTTTAAATGACCACCTTTAATCATAGCTTCATAATTTGGTTTGATCATTAAAAGATCAGAACACACAAGTCCAAATAGTTGACCATCAGAATTATTGTCATCAATAGTGAATAATGTTCCAACATCCTTTAGTAGTGCTCTGTGTATCTGCAATTAAATATTTTATGGCATTTTATGCACCGTAAGCGGCTAAATATAAATAAAAAATTTCTTTACAAATATTCGTAATTAAATTAGCATTGAAGGTGTTACTTACAGTAGCATGCCAAGATTGGGTGACTCTACGTGGCATTGTAGTCATACTATCCCAATGGCATTCAATGAAGGGAATAATATCTTTGTCCTTATGAAACATAATCCTTGATTCATTTTCTTTTTGAGACATTTGTAACAAATTTGCTATTGCTGTTACACACATTTGTGGAAATGCTAAAAAATGAAATTCCTAAAATCTATATGCAAGAAAAAAATGGATAATCTAATAAGAGATTTGAAATTGTATGGATTGTTGCTTCTTACGTGCTTGATTTTTTTTAAAACTTTCCAAACCCGTAGGAGAACAGTTTTTGCACATGAATATATAATTCATCATAAAAGGTACTAGTTTGCCTAATTGATATCCAATACAAGATTCATGAAACCATCTTGAGCAGCTAGCACATAGCAATTCTACGATGTTAAGATTTCTCTCCTTTGCACTGAGAAAATAACAGAAGTTTATAACAGATCAATCTGAATATTGTTGTATATTACTAGTAAGATTCAAATGAATTACCAATAACAATTTCCACAGTCATTGTTGTTAGTTCGACCATTAGGCTTCTCAGAAACTTCTTCTAGTTTTTGTTTATGTTTACTTTTATCATCAGATTTTATTTTTATTCTATCTTCACCAGATTCATTGTGCGCCTCATCTGCCTTATCGATTGAACTACAAAAAATGTATTTCCATTAATTTTACAGTTTAGAGGATAATAATTATACATAACCTCTAAAACCTTCCTATTAACTTATTTTATTTAAATACGAGGTATTTAAGAATTGAATAAACCAAAGATTTCATTACAGTAGGGTATTCCTTAAATACATATTATGTATACATGTATACTTTATGTAAATACCTTTCAAACTTCTCTTCTGACATTTGTGATCCGGTACGTTTTTATTATTTTCAAATGTGTTTAACCGTTCGCTTTGTACTTGGTTCGCCTTCTATTCCTTGGTTTGTTGTACAAATATTCTTTAGATTAAGTGTAGAATTTAAATACACTTTATTCAATTCATAATATTTAGCGTCGGTTCATACACTATCAAACGTATATACACGACCATTGATTGATACAGCAAAGTTTATAAGGTGACCCATAGGTACAATGGGTACAATGTTATGTATTTGAATGTGACATGTACTATACAAGTGTTTATATGTAATTAATGCTGAATAGAATAATAGCAATTGCAATTAATTGGAGAAATATAATAATAGAAGAACATATTTAAATCATTTTATAAGATAATACCACTCGACCCTTAAATAAATTATGAGGTGTTAAATGTGATAATTTCATACACAACATTAGCTCATACAGTTATACCTGTTTTATTAGTATTATATCCTTAGGTACTAATCAAAATCATGGAAAATAATTATTGAATAAGGAGCGAGGCAAATATAAAAAATACTTTTTCAGTATATCCAAAATATTTATTAGTTTTGAAACTGAATATGATACATACTATATAATATAGCAGTCTGTGCAAATAAATACTGCATTTATATTCACTTTATTTACAATTTTTATGATGCAAAAATATTAATATAAGATTTAATATTATACGTTCGAATATATAACGTATTGTTGACATTCTTTTTATTTAATAGTCTGCGGATGTTTATACAAGTTTATATTTTTTTTATACCAATTTACAGAAGTATAATATACTTAAATGCAAACTCATTTTTTCTATTAAGAGTATTATGAAATTGAAACCAAAAAATTTTTATTGGATTTTATTATACGTCAGGTTCTAATTTTACTATATTTAGTGACAAAATAAAGATATTTATTCTTGATTTCTAATCGTGCAAGCATCTTATTTTCCTTGTATATCGGAAGATTAATAATAAATTTTCTTAAACATAAGTTTTATATAAAAAAGAAGCGATAATATATTAACAAATCATAAGATTTAAAATAACGATGAACACGAAAATGAAAGAACTGAATGGTTATTTGGTCAAAAGATAAGAGTTTAGGAAAATTAGACTCTATTCAATAAAAGATCCGAAGAATCCCAAATTTCATATAGATTAAATACATTTTAAAGTATACTGTACGAAAAAAAAACAAACAAACAGAATCTAAACAATCCTCCGGAAGAAGATTCCGACACAAGCATCGATCTCGCAGTAGCTAATAATATCAGAAGCGTACATTTCTTTCATAAATAATGCATAAACACGGTGGTTATTTTACCGTTAGTATTTCCCCTGAATACAGACTGAACGCGTGGAGATGGTTTTCATTATTAAACACTATCATTTTATTATATTTATTCGAACAATGGGCCAAGCAGGCGGCGCGATCGATAGACCAGGAATAATTTCCCCTATTTCCAGTGTTAATTAAATACCCAGAGGGGAGTGTTGAACACGGTGAAATGGAAAAGTAGCGCGGCGACGAACCGAGAGAGACGATGCTAGTGTCCAGTGGTGTAATGAGATTTATGAACGGCCATTTGTAGTAGTTTCGGTCGGTCGGTCGGTCGGTCGGTCGGTCGGTTGGTGTCGCATTCTCGAGACGGCAGCAACAGGGGTTAGACGGAAGCTTTTTGGCGCAAGCACGCGCGCTCGACGTGGCGGTCTCTGTCGGCAAGCTCGGTGACTAGAGGGTCACGTCGGGAAACGGTGGTGGGAGATCGACGGTAGCGAGAGAGCGTGCGTCTACGTCAGGGAAAGCTCCGAGCTTATTGGTCCCGGTCCATTGTTGCGTATTGATTGCTGCGGAGCAGTGGTATGGTCATCCGGACACTCGGTCGTTCTCATCGCCGTTGTCGTCGTCGCCGTCGTCGTCGGTGGTACAGTCGAGTAGGTTAAGAAAGCGGGACACGCGTTTACAGATACACAGAGGCCGCGAAAGTTTCTCTCTCTCTCTCTCTCTCTTCGGTTGTATATCGGGTGATACGGTGGCGGGTATTTTTTTCGTCGCTAGTCGTCGCACACGGTCCATGATTTCGTGTTTAATACAATATATATTCGCACGTAAATACAAGTATATGTATATATGTATACATGAAATATATACACATATATATATGTATATAATGTGATGTGCGTGTGGCCCTGCGTGTGCGTGCGCGCGCGCGTGTCTCTGCTGTCCTATGTAATGGCATGTAATGTATGTATAATATGTATGTATATGTGTATATATATATACGCGGGGGACGGAACGCGTAATGTATATACCGTAAAGTGGTGTTAGTGGGTTGTTTTCTCGTTGTTTTTCTATTTCCCCCTTTCGAGATTGGAACTACCTGCAGCATTAGCGGCGGCGGCGGCACCAGCTGCCGCAGAACGTTGACGACACTGAAACCGCGGTGATCTATTCGGCCACCACGGACACACAATCTTCTCTCGGTTGGACACGCAGAGTGAAATACAGTGAGAGAGAGAAAAGGCAAGAGCGTAAGATAAAGCGTAAGATAGAGGTAGAAAGGGGAGAGGAAGAGAAAGAGAGAGCGACCTGCCTGGGGGACACGCAACGTTATCTTGAGAAACGAATGCGCCCCGTGAATCGACGGACGAAGTACGTACACCCGGAGTGTCTTCTGAGAGCGCGGCACCGAACGGAGCTGCCGCCAGAACCCGATCGAGATACGGGGATCAAGATCATCGTGAATCTCAAGGGAGAAAAGCGGTGTTGCTGAAGACAGTGGACAATCCTGTGTTAGTATCGAGCGTGAAGGATATCCGTGCTCGTCGGTTCAAAAGCTAAGAGAAACGACGGACAAAAAAAACAAATATCGAGAGGAAGAAGAGAAGAATATATAGGGGAGAGGGACGAGCGAAAGGGGGAGAGGAGTGGATGAGTGATTGAGCGAACGAAAGTGACCGAAGAAAAGTCACGGGGTAGGAGGTGGAGGAGGAAAAGTGGAGCGATAGCGATTAGAGATTGAACGGGGGGGAGAGAAAGATAGAGTGATAGAAGGAGGAAGAGAGGAGGTCGAAGGGGACGGAGGTGTCTTTTTTTTGGAGAAGAGAAACTAGTGTGACATACACCGACGGAGAGGGAATTTGGGGGAAAACGGGGATCGACGGGGGTGGTGATTACTAGTGCGTGAGTACCAGAAGGTGAAGCGGAGGAGACTGGAAAGGAAAGAGAGAGGAGAGAGATCGGTCGGTGGTTAGTGCGCGTAGAACTCGACGAAGAAGAAGAAGAAAAAGAAGAAGAAGAAGAGGAGGAGTAGGAAGAAGAAGTAAAAGAAAGCTTCTCGTGCTCGGAGGCTGCAACGAGCCGCCGCGAGGCGTGCAGAAGTTGTAGCGCGCGGCGTGCGCCCCGTGGCAGCACGAAATTATGAAGCGCATAAAGTGTGCCCTGCTGGCCACCGTTTCTGATAGCCGCCGGTGAATGTGTGACCCGGGGGCAGCAGAGATCCGCCGTGATGACGACCGAAGAGACGACCGAGCAGCCCCCGGTAGACGACTGCCTGAAGGAGCGGAAATGGTGGTGCTTCCTGCTGTCGAGCATCTTCACCTTCCTCGCCGGGCTGCTGATCGTGCTCCTCTGGCGTGCGTTCGCCTTCCTCTGCTGTCGCAAGGAACCCGAATTCGCTCCAAATGACCCGAAGCAGAAAGAGCAGAAGACGAGCCGCCAGGGGAAAGAGTTCGAGGGGACGTTTATGACCGAAGCCAAGGACTGGGCCGGTGAATTAATTTCCGGACAGACCACCACTGGACGTATCTTGGTGAGTAGTCCTCGTCGTTTTTCTTTTACTTTTCATCCTTCTTTTGCTCTTATCGTGTGTCTGTGTGTGTGTGTGTGTGTGTGTGTGTGTGTGTGTATGTCATTTGACAGAAAGGCCGATTTTAGATTCGTGATATCCGATTAATTGGTTTCTTGAACCGATACGCTTCGGATCTACAGACATCTTCGATATCGGAATGGTCGTTGAAATAGGTTTTTAGAGAAATTTAGGTTAAAAGTGCTATTTTTAGGGGTTCGTGGTGTATAATAGATATTGTAGATGTATGAAAATCGATAGGGAAGCTGACTGTAAACGATACTTCTGGAAGTCATTTTTGGAAGCGTAAAGTGTGTTGGAAATTGAAGGTTGAGAACTACTGTTTCAATATAGATTGTATATAGAGAGTACCCTTCGGAACGAGACATGCTGACCTAGTAAACTGTTGACGGTTCGCGTAGTCGGTATTTTTTTCTTCCGATTTATTGTATTTATCCCTTTTTTTGAGTAACCGTCTAATTTATTCGCGTCGGTTGTGAAATTACTCTTACTCTTGGTTTTCAGTCACTAATAAACTTGATCGTTATCAGAATCGCCTGAACAGCTTATTCGCAAAAACATTTGTTTCGACATCCTCATGTCGGTTTTGTCTACGTTTTATAAATTGTAAACCATTTATCATTAATAGCATACAGCTGTTCAACGTTCTTATAGATTAAAATAATCAATCATTTTTATTGCGCTAGTATAAAAGTTTAAGTAAAGTCTGAGTAGAATTCTATGGTTTATGAAACATTTATTAACGTGTCTGTTTGGCACAATTTATCACATGTGTTTACACGTAAAACGAATCTCACGAGCACAAAATTTCTACTTTAATATTCAATGATATTTTATTAGTTATTTTAAAATTGTTCGCTTTACGCGAATTGTATTCATGAAAATGTAGCGCCACGAAGTGTTACGTCTCCAAATGTTTATTCAATGAGACTGTTACGTATATAGTATAGTCTCACTGGCCTAGAACCACGAATCCTTTCATTGTTTTTGCTGTTACGAAAGTGTTCGAAGAAGGTAAGATCTAAGAGCACCAAATATTTTGAATTTTTTAGTTGATATGGATTCTAATAGGTTCTTCTCTCCAAATATTTGATCAAAATTTAGTAACCGAATACGATTAAGTTTGTGACGTCATACAAAATAATGTGTAGAGTTTCTTTAAAATACAATTTGCAGCTGTAAAATATCAATAATTTCGACTCACGAGAAAAAATGACAGAACATTCTCTTCTTCGAACTTTCTGTGCAGTATGTTGAAAAACATAATAGGTGATTCCTCGTCAATACGTAAGATTTATTGATCCTTGTCCGGGTAGGAGTTGACTAACAGTATTTACATTATCTATACGTTCTTCTCTTCACATTCAATACTACCTTTTCACGTGCACTCTTCATACAACACATGTACTTGTTTCATATAATTTACACAATCAATTCTTCTACCTTATTCCACCATAGACATCACCAATTCTAATAACACTCCGTTCAATTATCACCAATCAACATTCTTCACATTTAATATACCTATTTCTATTCTTTCATTAATTTTTACCGTTCTACATATCGTTTCTGCACCCCACTTTCAAATTTTCATTATCACAGTTTATTTTATTCTACTATTGAATAATGTAGATTCTTCATTCCACTATAAAAGGCATAGAAACTACCTCTACATTTTCGACGTCTATATTAACATTTTTTACATCATCATTAGCCCTGGTACTTTAATCATCGTGCCCCAGTCTACCTCCATTTACTTCCCTGTCTGACTCCATTTATTATTCACCCCCTTTTACCATCTATCCTATCGACATCTCTGAATCCTTTTCTGTCTGCAGTAGCTTTTAAAGTTACACGGTAACTATGTTATCCTTATAAAACATCATGCCTATTATACCATCCTCGAACACTCGCTCACTGTCCCATTCGTCACCGAACGAAAGCGTTATCGTCGCGCGCGGGCTCCAGCAGTGGAAAGTTCGTCTCGTGGCGTGCGGGGGTGATGTAATGTAGTTACGGGTTGATTAAGTTACACGGGAATCGCGAGTACGTTCTGGACGAGCGCGTGAAAAGGTGAGCATTATTAGAGGACTTAAACGCGTATAGATTCTCCCTGTAGGTGTACGAGAAAGAAGCAAGTACTCCTCGCGAGTTAGCACGAGTGTATCGTATACATGTACACGCGCCTATAGGCGAGTGACCCAGTTTTCGTTCGTGGAACCAGACGTGTCGTCGACTGAAGTAGGGGGGTAGTTTCTACGCAGTGCGTGTTCCTATGGGGCGTGTTTGCCGCTCTTTCTCTTTCTCGAAGGTCATCGGATGCAACGCTTCTTCTGTTCTTTATCAATGCCCGAAAAACGGGTGTTTCTGATGACCCAGCAGACGACGGTATTTGGGTTCGGATAAACTCCTACTGGTCTGTCTTTAAATGTGTTTTAGACCGAATTTTCAGAAATATCTTCTGCCATTTTTTGGAATAAAAAATAGACGGTATTTGCAATATAAATTATGACATGAGTTTATTAAGAAAAATAGAGGATTATTTACTGGTAGACCTAACACTTTTTACCGTTTCGAATGCTACTAATGTTTAGGAATTAGGTTAGTCACACTTCTGTTTTGTTAGTTTTGAAAAAAAAATCATTCAAAATCAATCAAATTGATTTGTCGATTATTGCCACGAATATTTCGCAATTTTCTTTGTTACAAACAAATTTGGTGCCATTTTTGTATGTAGTAGTTTATTACCGTCTGCGATATAATTCCTCTACCAGCCATTTGTTGTCTTTGTTAAATAAGTTTGTCCTTTCTTAGACAATTAAAATAGCAATGACAAATGATAAGTTAATCTAAATTGAAGCTCCTTTCGTCTGGAAGGTTTTTTTCATTTTTTACTCTATTGGACTCACTGTTCAGTAACATTTAGTCATACCTATTTGTGACTATTTTTCAGTATCGGTTTTTCCATAAGTTTAAGTTTTTTCAAGCTCTTCGTGTATAAAAGTTTTGGTATCCTAGTCTTCTTCTATGTTCAGAAAAATTATCATTTAGATAATTGCATTTCCCTATATTAAAGTAACTTGTTCTGTATCTCCAGCAAGAAAAAATTGACCATTACCATAGTGTTCTCATTTTTGTCCCAAGAAGTTAATTTCACTGCTTACGATTTTAACCTGCAAAATCGTGAGTGGTGCAAAAATTTCTTTTCTGTTTGTTTGTATGAGCTCCAGTTTTCCCTACTCGTCGTTCCATTGCGAGCGTAAAATTTAAAACGGCACACTCTTTAGACGTAGCCCTTGGGCATACATTAAGGCTTTTTTACATATTTCCTTCTTTTTTTAAATGATCTCGTACAACCTAATGACTTCCCTCTACATTACAGCAATGCAAATTTTGTGCTATTAAGTATCTGAAAGTTTATTTTCAAAATTTGTTGAAAATACGTAAATATGATTATTCGACTGTGGATGCTTATGCGTTTATAGTCTCTCTTAATTTGTAAAGCGCAGTAAAATCGACTTTACTAATGTTTAATAGTGTTAATATCTCTGCATAGAATGCAGGATTTTTTGTTTATCTTTATTTTTATAAACAATTATTCAAAAGTGTGAATTAACGTAAATATCCAGACTCTAATGATTATGTGTACCGTATGGGTAGCGTGTCTGATCTGCACGAGTTACTTCCACTTAATGCAAGCGCTCTCAGCGGTCTGCTATTATCTGTGTCCATCGTTATTATTATCTTTTAAGATTAGTTTATGGCAAATTAACTAATACTTAGAACTCAAGATTCTTAATATTTAACAAATTAAAGCATAACAATTTTAAATAATTACACATACAAAATAATGGCTTATTATAAACAGAAATTAATCAATACTATTGATAATATCAGTGATTGCTATACATATGCCGAAGTATTATATTTTCAATATCCACAAATATTGTAACTAATGTGGATAGAAGGACTGAATAAGTCTTATACACGTTAGTCTATTCCAGGGAATATTCAAAATTCACTTTGTCGTAAAAAGGTGTTTACATAAAGAAATTTAATCGATACCTTCCATTTATTTTTACCCAATTAGTTAACTTTCTCCCCCTGTGCAAGATATATCTTGTTAATATAGGCCAAGAATTATCGTGAACGAGGAATAGTTTATAAAAGCACACAGTGTTTTCTCGATACGAAAACATTCACAAATTATGATTTCTGTAAACGTTGTATTTATGTATATCTATATGTTACTCAGAACTAGTTTCATCGGAGGTTTTTTGTCATTTTAGAATACGACTATTATTTAAAAATCATTTTGACTAGTTTAAGTCAGCGTTAACGAAACACCCTCACCGTTAACTAAACTGTCAATATATTAGCTTAAACATTTTTTTCGACCATTCCTACTTTTAACTAACATCATGCAGTTTATTCTAGGATTAACAAATTAAGACCGGTATTGACCAAACAGATTTGTCACAGTAAATATTGACTAGGATGCTCGGGTTTTAGCTGTAACATAAATATAAAGGGTGTTTCCAAACTGGGAGGGATATGATTCTATATGTAAAAAAATGTAGAATAAAACTTTTCGAGACAATTGAATTTGAAAATTTGCTGGCTACACGTGCAATTGAATAGGACTTGCCTGATGATGCCAGTCTGTTCATTGCATTCCGTTTCTACTTACAGTCAGCGCGAATACATACGTTTTAGATGAATTAAAAAAATCAATTATATTTCAGAAACGAAGCACCATACGAGAAAATTTTATTGCACATTATCGATTTATTTTTTCATGAAGAATCGCATAATTTCGGGCTGTACCACCAGTAAGGAAAAATTCCGTATAATTATTCAAACGGTCTTTTACTTTTCACGAACACGATACGGAAAAATATAATATTCGAAAGTAACAATAATAATCTTTATTTTCAGCCTTA